GGGGGGGGGGGGGGGGGGGGTTCAGCAAATTTAAACTTACCATACTTCATGGTATCGGATATTTACTTTTATTGTAAAAACATAACATATATCGACAAAATGTAATACATCAATTTATTAATTTTAAATAAATACAACTTATTAAAAATTGTTAATAAAATACATAACAATATATATAATGTCCGAATGTCAAGGTTAAAATAGTTATCACCTACAATACAATGTAATTACAATACTAAATCAATTTTTCTTTTTTTTTTTGCTAATTCATCCAACACTACTTCTGGATTAACTTCAATTGTCCTGTGAATATTCAGCTGTGCTAATTCATTTAAACGGTTCTCTGCCATGGTATTTCTGAGATAAGTTTTCAATCGTCGCATTGTCGAAAATGACCTTTCTGCAGTAGCTGTTGTGATGGGTAAAGTTACCACGATTTTTAACAGTTTGTAGACATTTGGATAGTCACTTTCATTACAATTATTAAGTAATTCTGATAAATTAGATGGAATTTTAGGTACATTTTGTAGAGAGGTTGACCATAATTTAAATTCTGCAATAACTACTAAAGGAGAAAAAGATGGTAATAATTGAGAATATTTTTTTACTAAATCTGTTATGTCATTTTCAAAAGTATCTGAATTATTTTTCTCTTTAATTGGAAACAAACAATGAAAGCTCTTCAACAAAGATTTATGTTTTAATAAACAATCACTTATCATTGTTATAAAATTATCTAAATATGGAATAAATATTGTCACCCTGTAATATTCCTCAAGCGTGGTAGCAGGTGTATTATCTCGATGTACTTGTTTACCAACACGACGAGGCAAAGACAAATTGATATTGGAATTCTTACAAAATATTTCTGCTCTTTGAAATATTAATTTAAATTCTTTTTCAACATTTTTTCTCATTTCTTTTAAAACATTTATAGAATTATCAGCCATTTTAATAACATGAGATAAATCAAATCCAGGTGTTTGTAAAAGTTTACTTAATGGTAAACTAACAGAAAATACTGTTGATATTATGTGTATAGTAATCTGGAACTCAAAGTTATTAATCACAAAATGCAATTGATTTGCTGATGAAGATGTATTTTTATCGGGCCAATTGCTTATTTTTTCTAGAGCATCAATCACAGCATCTTGTAACTCTAGGTAAATTATTACCGAGTCATGGCGCTGAACTCAACGTGTTGGACATAATTGTTTTAATTTTGTATGAGATGAAATAGGTACAATATTTTTAATAGATGTAGTTAAAATATTTTGTCTTTTTGGCGAGTTAAAAAAATTATAAATTGACTCAACACTTCCTAAACAGTTTCTAATTGAAGTAATATTACATGCATCAGAAATAGCAAGATTCAGACTATGAGATGCACAATGTACGTATATTGCTAGTGGACATTTTTCTTGGACATAAACGTGGGCACCATGAAATACACCACTCATTGCGGCAGCACCATCATACCCTTGGCCAATCATGTAATTGTAATCTATCCCAATCAAATCAAGCAAAGTTAACAGTGTACTAGCAAGGCCTTTACCCGTGACATCAGTTACCGGAACAAACAGTAGAAAATCTTCATTAATTTGACCATTATAAAAATACCTCGCACACAAAGAAAATTGTTCGATACCAGAAATATCAGATGTTTCATCTACTAATATCGAAAAACATTTTGCTTCATTAATTTTATTAACTATTTTTTTTAAAATAATGTCCCCACACGTTGAAATTATTTCATTAGCAATCATTGGACTTGTATAGGAAGCATTTTTAGAACAGGTTTCTAAGTGCGTTTTTAATGCTACATCACCACTATTAGCACGAAATCTCAACAATGAACGAAAATTTCCATCATTTTCATTAGGCTCTGTTAAATTCAAGGGTCCACTATCTCTATGACCTATGAGAAAGATTTTGTCTACCACAAAAAATGATTGTTTCAATGATAGGAATAAGATTTTTTCTATTTTTAATTATTTTACGTTTTATTCCCGAATCTATTTGAATATCTATAGGTTCAACTTTTTTTTCTAAAATTTGTTTGGCACATGTTCCTTTTAGAATGCAAGTTTTATGATATTCACAATTTGTATGATTATTAAATACTTCAATAGCATCTTTCCAGTTTTTAAATGGTTTCTTTACCAAATTACCAAAAGTTTGTTTTCCAACACCTCCATCCTCTCCAGCAAACAAAACACAATATTTACAGTACGCTCCATCATCTTTTTCAGAATATGCCAACCAATTCCATCGTTTAAACCAACACCGTTGAAATTTTAAATTTCTCTTACCACTACTAGGAAAGATATAACAATCATCTGGTACCCAAATATCTGAAACCGTATTTATACAATGGCTTTTTTTATTGATAATCTCTCCGGTATCGATCGATCTACAAATTATTTCCTTTTGAATTATTTGAACGGGAATCTTATCATTATCATTTTGACTATTATTTGTATTAATCTCGGTATTTTTAAGTCTGGTTGACATTAGTTTTTTTGAATCAGGCAAAAAAAAAGAATTAATTTTTCTAGTCTGCTTATTTGTTAGAGAATTTGCCTATAATAATAAATAATAATAATAACAATTTAGGGAATCAATAAGATATTACGTATAATATATAATTTAATTTCATATTTCGAAGCAGAATATTTTTCGGAATAAAAATCAAATTTCAGACGAATAGTTTATGAGTTTGGCCGTTTCACATGGGCGTGTATCATACGCGACGCATCGTCCGCGCTCGTTTTTAGTTTACATTAATTAAGTTCATACATGTGAAACGGCCCTTATACCTAACTATTAAAGTATTAATATTATCACTAGTGCTAGGATTTTAATGACCCAAAAAACCTAAAAAAATGACATTAAAATAACCTAAAAATGACCTTAAAATAACCTAAAAAAATGCTCAAAAGATAAAAAATGATTTTAAAATATTATAAAAATGCATTATAAATTATAGTTTATAATTATTAATTATTATTTATTAATATTTAGGTAGAAAATATATTTTTTATCTGCTGCAACTTTAACTTCACAGACTTTACAATATAACACCAAACCATCGGTAGAAAAGACGTCGGCGCCAAATTCCGAAACATAAAACCGCATACGACTCGATTGCGATGATTTTTGTTTCGGCATATTTCGGTATAAGCACGATACGCAATCCCGAAAGTAAAGACACTAACTAGATATTTAATAAAACCATACGTAGGTACACTCCACACCACTGTCATCTAATTTTACGATTAAGATAATTCGTGGTATCAAAGTTTATTGTTGTAATATAAAGTGGTTTTATTATCGATAACGAGTACTAACACACTATCTCTATAATTGAAATATTTATATAATTATTTCTGTTACAAATTCAAAACTTTTATCGAGAACATCTAGTGTAAATGAAAATGTATAAAAATATTACCAAGATTTCAAAAAAGTATAAAAATGCCCATAAAAGTGCAAAAAATGCAAAAAAAAAAGCAAAATAAAAACTATATATTTGGACTCGTATATGACCAAATCACATTTTGTGCTTGAAAAGCTATGTCCTGTAAATCCTAAAAAAAAATGCAAAATCCTATACTATCCTAGCCCTAATTATCACAAATTATTTTTCATATGTTGTGTGATAATATGATTGAACCACTAATCTATTTTTGGAAAAATATTAGTTTTTTGTACTCTATATTTTTAATGTTATCAGAAATAATAGTATTGGATGTTAATAAATAATTATAATAATTTTAATAATATTTTTAGGTGTATTCAATTTTGTTCAATGTAAGGACAATTTTGAAAATTTCAATCTATTTATAAAAAGAAAAAAAATGAGTTTGAATTTTAGTTTGATAAAAATGTTTATGGTTCGGTTTGAGTTTATTTGAATAATTATAAATTTGGTTCATTTTGGGTTCGTAATACTTTGACAATGTTCAGTTTGACATCGAAAAATCATTACTCTTTTGTAATTATTTAATTTAGCAAATAATACCTTTTGTACTTAAACATTTTTAATTTACAAAATTTACAAATAAGTAATCAATAATATATTAATGTAAATAATCATATCTAATTATGTCTTCTATAATTTATTTTAGTTTCTAATAATGCAATAAAAACTAAATGGAACATGTGGTTATAAGTAAAATAATAAACAATTTTATTAACATTATGTACAATTAAAAACAAAATTCAGTAATATTTTATGTTTTAGAAACTTAAAGTGTAAGCTTTAATATTTTAAACCAAATTTATCATCACATTTTGATTGTTGAAAAAATCAGCACCATGGATATCAAAAAATAAATACTTTGGGGTGTATAAAAGTATATTTTATGTAAAATGTTGTATATAGGACTTCATATTTTTTGAAAAATCTATTTTAACTATATACATGGAAGACACATAAATGAAGGAAATATCATAAACTAATTATACATAAAAAAAAATAAATGTTTGGTAAATTATTTAGAGTAAAGTTTCATTAAAGTTTTCACTTGTTAATCTTTTTCTTTTAGGTAAACTTTCAGTTGATGAGGTACACTCTGAAAATTGTAACTGATCATCTAATTCTGAAGGCAATGACTGTGTGGACGATGCACTGGTATCCGAAAAACTAAGATCAACTGGACTAGCAGTCAGAACACTTTGGCTGAATAAATAATCTCGAAATGAACTGGATAAAGAATCTCCAGAAGTCATTAAATGATAAGGATTAGATGATACAGAGTTTAAGCTTTGCCGATTTGGTATATTTGAAATACTTGTATCACTGTTAAAGGGTTTGATTTTATGTATGTTGGAGTTTGATAATGCTACAACAGGTTTACGACTTCTTGGAGTCATCATTGTTTCCTGAAAAATATTTAAGATTTCAAGTTTAAAAATATTTACATGGCAATTACATTAACTAAAGACTCAATGATAGCAGATAGGTTTAATTAAAAAAGCATACATTGGTATTTGTGCATATAAAAAGAAACACATCTTGACTACCTGCATTGATTTGGTCATTTTCTGTGCCGACTGCGTAATTGGGGACATATCATCAGGGTGTTGCTGATGCGGGGTAACTGTCGATGGAGTACTAGTACAACGCTTAACACGTATAACAAAATTAGGCGTAGAAAAACACTCTACTGGAGTATCACAATCAAATTTAGGTGAACAATGATCTTCAACATTTGCAAATTTATCATCTTTAATTGGTAATTTCTTCAGAGAATTTTTCTTTTTAATCTTAAATGAATCATCCTTGTTTTCTTTATCAGGAGTAGCAGTTGTAGATGGTTTGGTTTTTTCTTCTGCTAGCTGAGCACATACCAATGGACACAACATGCAAATATTATTAGTATTTTCATGCAAAAATAGGAGTAGTGCAACACATAAGCATTAAGTATATAAATAAACTTACAATACCCAAGCTTTTAAATGCATACAAATTATAAAATTTGATTATTACAAGATAGATCAGTTGATTTGAGCTACTGTATAGATTATCTCTAAATCAAGTATATTGTAAATAAAATGTAACTTAATAATAAATGTGAAATAATATATAATACATATTTTAATTGTCTATCAATACAAAGGTATAAATTGTATACTTCAGTAGATCAAGTAATGTAAATCTCACCAATAAATAAAATATTACAATACACACTAGATAACTAATACCATTAAGAATAGAGATTAGAAATATCTTTCATTTTAAAAAGTCAGATTAAAAATGGTTGGAAAATTATTATTTTTATCAAAAGAGTACAAGATTTATTTTGTAGGTACAATGAAGAAACCTCTATGTGATGTAACTGATCAACTGTGTTATAATTAATCAACTAACAATACAGGCCAATTTTTCAACTTCAGACAACAACAGAAACTATGACAAAAAAAAAACAGAGTTACAAAAAAACAATCCTTTCTAGGGCCAACTTTGATGATAATGCCAATCAACATTGAAGGTATTTCACCTAACAAAGAGATATTGGTAAAACTATGCAGGGCCCATTCCTGTGATTTTATCTGCTTATAGGAGAAACACAGAGGTAAAGATATAAAGAAGCCAAGATTAAATGGTATGAAACTAGCTGCATTACGACCCTACAAAAAGTATGGCAGTATAATTATTGTTAAACCCAATGTACAAGCAATATCTTAGAAACAACAGAAACTAATGAAATAGAAATATTATATATTAGATAGATCTGGGAAAATACTCAGTAACCTCTGTGAATAAGTATCCAAATTCTACTTTTGTACTTAATTAACCAAAGAACCAAAAAACAAAAATAATGATTGGAGATTTTAACTGTCATAGCCAAAATTGTGGATATATCGAGTCAGATAGCGATGGGCATGAATTAGAAAACTGAATAGAAAGAAACAAAATTAACCAAATTCACGATTATAAGCTCTCACAATTTTATAATAGAGAAAAGTGGAAAAAGGGTTACAATCTAGATAACATCTTTGTGAATGAAGAAATCGCAGCCTACTGCACAAAAGAATTCGGCAAACCCATCTCTAATACTCAACACAGAATATACTATGTCAGCCATAAGAATTCATACCATACCTTGTAAAAGAAGATATAACTTTAAAAAAGCTAATTAGAAAACTTTTAACAAAGACCTGGATGAAAAAATAATAATGTATCATCTATAGCGACAAATAATGAACTATTTGTTGGTATAGTAAACATCTAGGAAACATACACCTAAAGGATGTTGCATACAACATAAATCGGGAATCACATTAGAAATGAGTAAAATCTCGACGAATATGCTGTCTATTATGAAAGAGATCCCTACAATAGAAGAAGGAATAGAAGTATTAGAATTTATATTGGGAGCAAGGAGAATCAGATGGTATGAAATGATAGAGACATAGTAAGTGACATAAGTCTAGGGAGCAACCCGATAAACAAACCAACACAGATAAAGGTAACTTCAGATTAGGTAGATACTTAGCTATTTGGGAAAACTCCACAAAACCCAGAGCGCAAAATTAATACAAAATGCAACTATAACAACATTATTATAATATTATTAATTTTAAAGAGAAAATGACAAGATAAGTAACCCTTGAGAAAAATTTTGCAGAAGACCTTGACAATGAAATTGTTACTATAAAAATCCATAAAGCAGCTGGATTGGACGACATACATATAGAAAAAATAAGACAATTCAGACCGAAAAATAAAATGTGGATCACAGATCTATACTATGTAAATGAAACATAAAGAATACCAAAAATATGGAAAGAAATCAAGATAATTATTTTATTAAAATATAAATTAGGGATGTCCTGTCCAAAAAAATATCAGCCAGTATCCTAGCTATAAAATCAATATAAAACTAAATAAAATAACAAGAGTGGTTTTTGTAGATCTGCAGCTTATGGTACGGTAAATCAAACATAATGATTCTTAAAAAATATGAGATGACAAAAGCCTAATGATTTGTAAAAATCATAGAAACACTTCTCAGCTACCGATGATTTTTAGTAACACTTCATGAAAAATCCAGTCATTGGAGGATTTAATAAATGGATTACCACAAGACTGCCATACCTTCTACATTATTCAATATATATTATATACCGAGGAACAGCAAATATTGAACGAGTATAACACAAAATACATATATATGACTCAGCAATAGTAGTACAAGATAGCTTCAAAAATATAGAATTTAAACTATCAAATAGCTTTAATAAAATAGGAGATTACTGTCGAAATAACTATCTGCAACCAAATCCAATAAAAACCCAAAATATTTGGGCATAACTTAAGAAAGACCATTTACGTTTAGGGAACATTGTGAAAAAACAAAGCTTAAAATAAACGCTAGGGATGGTCTAAGGTACTATTTAGTAGCTGAGTTCTCAGATCACCTGACACCTATCTACGATATAAGCATTGTCACAATCAACTTAACTAGTGCTAAATGGCAAATTCTGGTTGATCAGCTATGTCACGTTATGTCTTTAAGCTTATTTCTTATAATTAAGAGTAAGATAAAAGTTAAAATCATTAATAATGACGCATACATTAACAAATTGAAGGTTTATATAAAAGTAGTATTTAAAACCAAATATTTTTAATATTTTGTTAGTTAATTTTTTTGTACATAAATAACATATACTGTTATATTATTACTATTTTACACATATTACCTTTGACTGCTGCCTTTCTCCTGATTTTATTGGACCCTGTTTTAATTTTGATCCTTTTTTGAAAATATGTTTCTAAAAAAAAAAAAAAAAAAGTTAAATATATACTATAATATACTAAAAATATAAGAACAAAAATGAAAAATAATTGTTATACTTTAATAGAATTAGTAAGACTTCTATTTGGTGTGATTACAGAGTTGTGATTGCTAACACGTTTAATAAACATTCTGCGTTTTTCTGCAGATTCCGGTAGATTATGTACATGTGCATATAATTCAGCTAATGCTTTAACTGTTGGATTTTCTTCATTTTCTTTAGTTGTGGTAGTACGATCAGTAAATGAAAATACTGTTGTAGCAACTGTTCCTTCCTCCTATATTAAGTGTTACATTTTTAGACATAGAATTATTAAAATAAATTACTTTTAATATAATACCTTAACAGGTTGTAAAGATTTTTTTGACCAATAGGCTCTAATATCTACAGCTAAATTTGGTGGAATTTTAAATAGGTCAAATCCTAAATTTATCATATAAATTACAATATGTGACAAATTTTGAGTGATTTGGTAAAGTTCTTCAGCTGGTAACTGTAAATGATAAATGAAACTCATTGATTTTTATTTAATATTATAAAAAATATAAATGTATGCATATTCCTTATTTAGAAGATCAAGAATATTTTTAATATATTATAACACAAACTGTTCCAAGATTTAAAATGATGATTTATACTATGAAAAATTTAAGTAAGTAAGAATATAATTTATAACTTATTTTATCTTATAAATAATATTGTGACTAATGAAAAAATTGGTTTTTTTGATGAATGAATAAAACTTATTCTATTAATTAAAATGAAAATATAAAACATAAATTTGTATGACTAAAATATTAAAACTTGTATCACAAAAGCCAAAAAGAGATAAAAACCTTTCGAGGAACAATTAAATGACCAGTAAATAATGTGGCTAAATTTTCTGGTGGCATTCTATTTTTGTCTGAATGTTGAGCAGTAAAGTGAAGTAGTTTTATAATATCTTTTAATAAAACTAAATTATCAAATGGCAACAACAATAATAATAATTGCAAAGCTCTTAATAGGCGTTGACTATTATTGTTAACTTCCATTTTCTGACAAAATTCTAAAAAAAAAAAAATTTCATTAAATAAAATAACTGAAATGGAAGATTAATACTATTATATATTATTATGAAAAAATACCTGATATTTGACAATATGCAGGATAAAATGCTTCAGTCATTATTGGTTCAGGTTGTTCAGCTAAAAATGATTTTAAAACTGTAGCACAATCATGTACAGTAAATTGACAATTATACAAATCTAATGTTTGACCCTGATTTAGGAGTGCTTTTAGTTCTTGTTGTCGATTAATTGAACCATTTCGACGAAATATCCCTTCTTGCTTGACATCTAAAAAAATAATATAGCTTTAAAATATTATTTTATAAGAAACATCTAAATACATACTTTCTTCTTGAGACAAGAAATCAATAAGTTGGTATACTTGACAAATTCCTTCTTGAGTAATTGGTGCTCCGTCCATAACACCTTTCACAGGGCATTTTTCTTTTTTCATAAAAGACCATTTAATAGGTTTAATTTTTGATTTTTCTTCAATCGAGCAATCTCCTCTGAAAATTAAAACACATAAGAATAACAGTGAAAAAATTTAATTAATAATAACTCACTCTTTGATATTTGATTCAAGTATAAAAGACAAATGCATTCGAACCAATGTGTAAAATTGTTCAGAATCTTCAATTCTTAATTTGTTAGCTAATTTCCAATCTTCATTCATGTCTAATAATTCCATTGCCATTTTATACATTAAAAATTATTCAAAGTAGTAAACAAGAAACGCAAGATTATAATACGCGATCAAATTTGCTTAAAAATTAATTAACATAATGAAAGCATAATAAACACATGGACAAATCCAACATTATTCTGTTGGATTCTTAATGTAACAAACATTATGCAATCGAACAATAATGAAGATTTAGTTATATTTAATAATAATAATGTGGCATACTAACTGAGAATATATAAAATTCTACCAAATATTCATACGTCTTGCACAAACATTAACGGTTTTTGTTTAGTTTTATGTTTATTATTTTTTTTTTTAAAATACGTTATTAACGAAGGTAGGAACGGAAGAATGTCTACGACAATATAATATTGCCACTGAACGATAATATGGTATTGCCTAAATTATTCACTCCCGTAGTTTGGTCACACTGTCGAAACATCAATTAAATACTATTTATTTATTTATTATTATTATTTTTTTGCAAAAGTCGCATTATTACTTTTTTTATCGTCACCTACCAGTTACAACCCACTTATTGCGTGATTTCTACATAATTTTGTGTGCGCCGCTCGTCCGGCCTACGAGATGATCGCCGTCGTCCGTTACATGTTGCCCTCAAGTCCTCTGGTGGGTTCCGTGTGAAATCCCGAAAGTGTTTCCCTTCTGCGAAAGCCTGTGTGCGTTACGACAAAATATCGAATTATCTTCCCCGGGGGCCCAGGATAAAATATTGTGTCCATTGAATGTGTAGTACGCGTTACACGTCTGGGAGGAAAAAGTAAACGGGATATAAAAACAAACAAAAATTTCCAATAAAACATGGTCAAGGACGTCCAGTACTAAAAACTCATCCTACAGAAAGCCGCGTTCACCTTGTTGACGTCATTTTTCACAGGAATCAGGCGTGGTAAGAAATACTTTTTAGTGGTTTTATTTTTCAATTCTAATGCGTTATTCTATCAAGTACCAATAATCGTATCGCACTTACAATAATAATAATAATAATAATAATAATAATAATAATAACAATAATAATAATAGTTTTCGTATATTTTAGAATATTAATCATTCAAAAAATATAATGTTATCTATGTTTTCCCATAAACAGGTGCGATAAACCAACCATCTACATATTATTATATTGTCATCGTAATTTATAATAATGAAATATTAATAATATATAGATATTAGCAATAATCATGTTAATTACGACTAATGTTAGTTGAAGAGATAAGAAGATATTTGTCATTCATGTGGTGGTTTTACTCGCGTTGTGTTTATTAAATGAGTTGATCACTGATCATTTTTACTGCAGTGTTTTTATTTCTTAATTATTTTACTCTTTGTATCAGGTGAGGAATTTATGTCTATAATATCAAAAACTCATTGTTATGCATATTATAAGGTTATATATCTACATGTTTGTGGTAAATGTTATATTATTTTTATTTAACTATTTTGTTTCTATATTGCTTCAAGACATTATTAAATATTAGTCATTTATGACAATAAATTTCAATTTTTTTTTTAGTTCACTCAAATCTATCTGTTTAATATAAAACTGATAAATCAAATATTGATTTCACTGGTTTCTTTTATTTTTTGGTAGTTATTTCAGGTACATTTTCAATAGTTATTTTATATATATTTTATCGAATACTAAAGAATTGAATTTGTTAGCTAAATGTTAAAAATTATTTTATTTTCTTAAAGCTTTCAATATCTATGACTTTGTTTTTATTGAAAATAAAATCCAATATCAATAATACTTTACTATCTGAGGTTTACAGTTTTTAATTACTTTTATTATTATTATTTCATCATGAATAAAATTTAATCTAAAATATATGATAAAAGTATAACAAATAACAATTTATTAATTATCTAATTGTTTTCACTATAGATAATATAGCTATACATTTATCAATATGTTTGATAAAATGTGTACATTTTATAATAAATATATATGTTGAAGTATATCTGACCTATATTAATTATATATAATCAATAATAAATTAACAATCTACTTGAATATTTATACTTAATAACTGTAATATTGTTTTTTAGTGGAACTGCCTAAAAATATATAATTTTATAGTGTACATTTGTTTTATTGAAATCATAATATTATAAATAAAACAAAAGTTAAAACAGTTAAATTTAACACTGACTATAACTTATAAATATTTTATATTATTGAATTTTATTATGATTTAGGTATAGATTTTACATTATTTTTGTAATATCATCCATTTGTTTTATAGATTTGAAATTTTTTTATTGATTTAACTAAATAGGAGTAATATTTACAAAATAGGCTTGAAAATGGTTAATTCCTTTTTAATATTTGGATTTATCATGGCCTTGAACTTTTTTTTTTTACTAAACTTGTTTACTGGACTGCATTAATTAAATATTAAGTAATAAAATTCTTGTATACTTTTTGTAATAAAATATAATTTAATTTTCAATATTTATTAAAATCCTAAAAATAATGTTTTGTTTAAAATAAGTACTGTAAATATAAATATTAATTTATACAGGATAACACTTTCAAAGGTTGATTTTGGTATGCAAAATTTGAATTCCATTTGGTCATGCGATCCTTACGAGTGCATCATCCTGACTGATATTGAAATTATATAAAGGCATTAAAAAAAATGTCATTTTTAAGTGGCCTTAAGAAAGTGCTTCACTTAGGAAACAATGAAGCGAAAAAGAAGAAAGTATTTAACAACATTCATATGGATTGTGATGTTGATGATTTTTGGGAAACAATTGGTGAACTTGGTGATGGAGCTTTTGGCAAAGTCTACAAGGTAATTTTTGTTAAATGCTTTGATAGTATTAGTGTGTTAAATATATTTTTATTTTATTTAAAATGTTGTTATTATTTATTATATTAACTTAAAATGAATTTTGATTTATGTATTTAATTTTCTATTATCAATATGTTAAAAATTAAAAATTGTCCAAAATAAATTAATGTTATTTTTTTTATATAATTTTATTAGTTTTATAATTTTTTTTATTTTTAAGTTATGCATTTTTGTAAATAATTTTAAAAATAGTATTTTTAACTAATTAGAAGTAAAATAATATAATATAAAAACTATATAATGTAATTTTTTATATCAATTAATTTTATTTGTATTAAAATATGTTATTTAGGCTCAACACCGTGAAACTGGGCAATTGGCCGCTGCTAAAATGTGTATTTTAGAAGGCGAAGATGATTTAGCTGATTTTATGATCGAAATTGATATCTTAGCTGAATGTAAACATTCAAATATTGTTGAATTATATGAAGCATTTTTTGTGAATTCTAAACTTTGGGTAAATGATTAATAAACAATTAGTAGTTTTAATAATAAAGGATCATGTTTATTTTATTTATATCTTATTGTTCAACATTTTGATAGATGCTGATTGAGTATTGTGATGGTGGTGCATTGGATTCGATTATGGTTGAGCTAGATCGTGCTTTAATCGAAGAACAAATAGCTTATGTTTGCAAGTATATGTGTGAAGGTTTAGCTTTTCTTCATAAAAGTAAAGTTATACATCGTGATCTTAAAGCTGGAAATATACTTTTAACAACTGATGCCGGTGTTAAAATTGGTGAGCTTTATATTTTATTTTCAATTATTATTAAAGCTAATTTTTAAACTTAAATTTATTTAACAGCTGATTTTGGAGTTTCGGCCAAGAATAAACAAACATTACAAAAACATGATACTTTCATTGGTACTCCGTACTGGATGGCTCCAGAAGTGGTTTTATGTGAAACTTTTCGAGATAATCCATATGATTTTAAAGTAGATATTTGGTCATTAGGCATAACTCTTATAGAACTAGCACAAATGGAACCTCCGAATCATGAAATGTCTCCAATGCGTGTATTACTTAAAATACAAAAATCTGATCCTCCTAAATTAGAACAACCATCTAAATGGTCCAAAAATTTTAATGACTTTGTAGCTCAAGCACTTATAAAAGATCCAGCTCAAAGACCAACTGCAGATGATCTACTTAGAGTAATATTATATATTTCAAATATATTTATAGATAATACATTTTTAATTTTTTATTTAGCATCCATTTGTTAATGGAAATATAGATCCAAAACCAATTCGAGATTTATTACTTGAATATAAAGCAGAAGTTGTTGAGGAAGAAGTTGTGGATGAAGAACCTGAGGTATATATGAATTTCTACTCATATATATATATATATATATATATACATATATAAAAATATATATATACACATTCATACACTGTACTTAATTAAGTTGTATTCTGCACTATCTTGATACATTTTTTATTATTTGTATATACATTTCTTTTTAATATGATTTCCTGTGTACATATTCATTTAAGTGTTCACTGATACCAATTATATCTATTCACATATTTATTTCCATGCTTACGTAGACTACATGTGATAGGAAGTACAGGAAAAACAGGAAGCAATATCAAAGGGTTGGTGGTAAGTTATCCTAACCCATGTGTGCACAGTCCATTTATATTTTTGGTTTAGCATGTCTTAATGTAAAATATAATTTGTGAATAATGTATATAGTTATGTATATAATTTTATTTTGACATCAATATAAAGTTTTACCAAATTTTTTAGGAATCACCACATTCTACACAATTACCTCCCCTGGACTTGGATGCAGTCGAAGATGACACTGTATCTCTCAAAAGTGAATCTGAAACTAAAGGTATAACTTAAAATTATATTCTTAGTTTGAAAGTATAAAACTTACACTCAAAAGTTTTAGTTTTTAATTTTTTTTATAAAATCTTCAAATTCTTTAAATACTTATATTTTAAAGCAGATGTAGCTGAAGTTAAACCAGAAATACCAAAAAAACGAGAAATGGATGAAGAATCATCAGATAGTAAAAAAATCAAAACAGAAGAAATAATTACAAATGTTAGTGAGTCTGAACCAGTTATTTCATCTAAAGAGATGTCATCTAAGAAAAATGTATGTAAACTCAAATTTCACAAAAATTATAGATTATATACATGTTTTTATTATGTGTATGAAATAGAAATGTTTTAATATAACTTTGATGAAATTTTCTAGTTTGATTGTGATACTGATCAAACTACCATAAGTTTAAATCACTTATGTAGATAATTTATAATTAAACCGAGAAAAATTTTAAAATATGATGGAAAAAAAGTTTTTTACAATTTTTTATTATTTAATAACTCAAAATAGTTAAAATTTTGAAATGAAATACTGATTTTCATAATCCATTAAATTATCTGATTTACAAACATTTTTCCTAAAGTTCTGAATTCTCTCTAACTCCTACTATTCAAAATAATAAAAATCTTAATATGTTCGCTGCGTATTAATTTTATATACTCAAACCTAGTTGCTGGTCAAATTTACATCATTTTTTTTAACACCTATTGGTGTCATTGGCATATAATTGGCACCACCGAATAATAAAAATAGAAAATTTGAGGTACGAATTTCACCCATATTTAGTAACATATACTTAACAACGCTGACAATTAATAAAAGATTCAGATTTATCGCTGGATGAATTAAAACAATTGTAAAAATAATATCTTAAGGTGTCATACACATAAAGGACTAAACAAAATGATGCCTTGAAGCGTCATATGCAACAATGTATTGACGCATAATCTTTTATTTATTTTTAAAAAACATTTTTCATTATTTTTTTTTTTTTTTTTAAAAAAAAAGGATTTCTATTTGATTTTTTTTATTATGTTTTTGGTAAAATAAATGTATTAGTCTGTTTTACTTTCTTATGTATATATATATATTTATGAATACTTCTATAAAAACTTACCAGTCAAGTGCTACCTCACACAAAAATTCAAAGGAATTTAGGATAACATTTTAAAATTTATTTTTCCATTCTATAGAACTAAATAATTTATATATTCATTCTATTTAATTACTTTTGTGTTTATTTTAACTTGCCTAATTTAATATATTCAACTAACAGTTATACAATTTATTGAATTTTGTAGGTGGTTAAAAAACATTCTGAACATAAAGGTCCTGCTCCACCACCACCATCTTCAGTTAAATCAGTATCAAATGAAGAACCACAGAATTCATTACTTGCATTGAAAATTCAAGATTCTGATCAAGAGCAAGAATCCTTAGTAGTTGAACATAAAGAACTCGTCGAACTAAAATCAAAAGATAATGATTTTTCAGAATTAAATGATTCTATTAACAATAATTCCGAGGGAAATAAACCTTTTGATATTGCTAATGAGAATAATTCAGTATCTATTCAGTCATCACAGTTACGCAAACATGATATACTTAATCCTAGACCTATATCAGTAGCCACTAGTATTAATGGTTCAATTGTTCATTCTACGGAAGACTCTCAGGTAAGAACTAGAAGAAGAAGTTCATCTGCATCTAATCGTAATCAGAGAAGACCTTCCCCTCCATCTTTAGACAAAGTTTTACAAATGAATCAAACTATTGAAAAAAATAAAGGTAAAATGCCTACTGCTGTTTTGAATGAACTAGCTGGAAGACTTCTTAACAATCAAGATGAGACTGATCAATCAGAAGATAAAAACAATAGTAAATAATCAACACCATTTTAAATAATTATATATTAATATAAAATAATATTTTACTGTTATTTTAGTTTCACAAAATGATAATTTAATCAATGGAGGAACTTTGGTAAGAGTAGGATCTTCTACTGCAATTGATTCAAAGGTTACTGTTGTTACTACTACACATCCACCTGTTCTTCAAACACATCCTCCAGGACTTCATACTCAAGTGATAATAGTCGCCGATACCGACACTAAGTCTCAAGTATATTAATATTCAATTAAATATAATATTTTTAAAGTTATTTTTATAAGTCTTATTTAACATTTATAAAAAAATTTCAAGATTGAGAAAAATAATGAGGTGGTAGTAATCAATTCGTCTCATACTGATGAAGAAGAATTGGATGCCAGTCATGTTTCAGTTATAACAGTAGGAGAAGAACCTTCTATTAAAGAGTTAGATTCTTGGAAAAATAAAGAAGAAATTGAAGTACCTAAACCTATTTGTGTACCTGTGAATACAGCATTAGAATCAAATAAACTTAAAATGAATGGGGGTGCAGTCAAGCCTAATGACCCAACAGAAGTATACATTGTCGTTAATAATTCGACAAATGTACATAAATTGGTGATTTTATTAAAAATATATTTTACTTAAGATTTATTTATTCTTATATTATTTTTTCTTTTAGTCAAAAAGTACACATGATGGAATTGCTGTAAATAACAAAAATCATGTTTCACCTACACGATCAACATCTCATTCACATTCAGATAGTGGATCAGCTTATAGTAGTGGTGGTCAAAGAACTCCACCTTCAGCAGCCAGTACACGTACATTTGATAGATCCGATGCTGAAAGTGTTTCAACTACAATTAGTCATGATAGTCGTAGTAGTAATAAAGAAAATAATTTACCTCCTCGAGAATATGAAGATGAAATTGTAATACGTAAAAAACCTGAATATAGCAGAGTAAGTTGGAACATTTATTAAATAATTTATTATTTATATTATTTAGTATTTTAACTGTCAAGTTCATTTCCTGTATATTTTATTATTATTATTTTAAAACTTGGTATTGTCAAATTTTAAACACTAACTAAAATCAAATATTAATTCTTATAATCATTTACATTCAGATAATTGTTTCATTTCAACATTTTTAGGAAATGAAAAGGACTAGTCGAAATATTAGTAAGGAAGAATTGGAAATCAGAAATATGAAAAAAAAGACTAGAAAGCGAACAAGAAAGTTTGAAGTAGATGGGGTTGTTGTTACAACAACAACTAGTAAAGTAATTTATGGCGATGAAGATTCCAGTCATGGGTATAATGATCAAATATTTAGAAAACAAGAATTAAGGGAACTCAAAATGTTACAAAAACAAGAACAGAAACAGTTTCAAGATTTATCCTTTAAGGCAACTATATCTAAAGAACAGCAAGATAAAAAGTTTGAGCAAGAAAGAATGACATTAATTAAACAATATGAAGCTGATTTAGATGCAATGATTAAGCAACAACGTCAAAATGTTGAAAGAGCTGAAACTCAGCAAGAGGCTGATTTAAGAATGACATCTAAAAAAATTCGTCTAGAACAAGTAAATAAGTGTTTAAACATTGTATTTCTTTTCCTGTATACTAATTTATAATTTTTTTCAGGAACGAGAATTAAAAGAATTTAGGGAAGGTTTAAAACAAGAGTTAAGGTTATTGAAGCAAGAAATTGACTTAAAACCTAAAGAAAGGCGGAAAAATTTGTTTAAAGATAAAAAAGAGAAGTTAGAGACTGAACATGAGGAGAGAGAAAAATTATTCCTTGAGAAACTAAATGAAAATCATGAAAGTTCCTTGAGTAGACTGAGTGATGCTCATCAGGAGAAAATTGCACTTATGGAACGCCAATATCTACAACAGAAACAACAGGTAAATATTTTTACTACTATAAATTAATGTATGTTATAAAAATTAGTTTTGTATGTGTGTCTATTAATTTAATATTGAATTTGTTAAAAAAATTTAAAATTAATGTGATTTGATGCCTGATTAGCTGTGATATTGATATGTGATTAATTGTTTGTGGTATTATACCACTAAAAATGTTAAGGAATGTTAGTCATGTACCAAGTAAGATATTTTACAGTTTTAAATTTCCTTTTGGTGATAATTAAAGCTCGGATGTTTATAACTTGGCATATTTTTTTCGCACAACCAGAATTATATCCTAATATGATTCATGAAATTTTGATTGCAAATATGCAAACTTATTTTGCATATTTGACATTTTTAAGAATATAAATGCATAATCGATTGTTTCTAGATTAAGTAGCATATATTTTATAAATTATACGTATAATATTAAAAATTGCCCATATTATTATAAATTATCAATAATTACCTTTAATTATATAATTTTGAGTCTACAAAACCTTATTATCAATGACCCTTCGAGTTTGAAAATATCAGCAAAATTATTGTTGTACAGTGTAATCCTGATACTTAAAGTGCTTAACCCGTAGGTTCCTAAAGTGTGCGCTGCGATGTCTGTATAAGGGCGCCGCGCCGTCATGAAATACTATCGAATCTAACATTTTCCTTATGATTAGTCATGCTATGACTTAGAGAAGGAAGCCCTGAAAAAACCTTAAATCAAAAAGGGCGCCATGAGTCGAAAAATTTTGGCAAGCACTGGCTTAACCTATGTAAAATTTAACTTTAATACATCGAAAACTAATTAATACTTTTATTATATCTATTAGCTGTTGTTTTTTTTTGTAATAAAGTCATTTTAAATACACATTTAAAAGAGTATATTCATTTTTGAATTAATATTAACTATTTTTTTACATATATTTGTTAAAAAATAGGTATATTTAATACATTTTATGGCATATAATTGCATATTTGGACATTTTATAGTGCATATTTTTATGAAATTTGGGTCATTAACATCTAAATAGGTTATGTATGTGTCTGAGTAAAGAAAAAAGCACATTGCAGGAACTGTTTAAGCTTTTATAGTGTGAGCAATAGTTCTTAGTTAATCTTAAATGTTGTAGTCAATAGATTACTTGTAACTATTATTATACTGAAGATGGCTTCTTGTTCTCGTCCTCATGATTTAATCTGCTAAATGTTTAGATGTTAAAAACAACAGACTTTTGAATTGTATTTGTACTGTAATCTTTGCTTATGTAATGGGCTTTTTCCTATAATTTTATTATATACATATATATATATTCTTTAGTTGTCAAAGTATAAAATGAATAAACTCTTAGATTTTGAAGAAAACAAAGAGATTTATTAATTTGAAAAGCTGCAATATTTTTTTTCTCTCTTTTTTGGGTGAAGAAAGTTTATTTTTGTTTAAAATCTTTAGTGTTATGACAAACAATCATTAAGTGTATTATAGATTTTTTTTTTTTTTTATGGTATTAATTTATACTTTTTATTCCAAACTTAATTTATTAGTATTCTTATTAAATAAATTTAAATTTATTTTAAAACTCACGTTCCATTATTGTATAATAAATTTATGAAAAATACAATTTTATTATCATATGTGATTTAAAAATATAATTTTATAGTTAATGCGAGCTAGAGAAGCTGCTCTCTGGGAAATGGAAGAACGTCAAATTCATGAAAAACAACAATTGGCCAAAAGACAGCTTAAAGATGGCTTTTTTTTGCAGAGGCATCAAGTATATAAATAATTTAATTGTATGAAATGCTTTTATATTTAAAGTCTTTATATTACTTTTAGATGTTAATACGGCATGAAAAAGAATTAGAACAGATGAAACGAATGAATATACGTAAGGATGAAGAAATGCAAAAACGCCAACAAGTTGAAAAACGCTCATTACCTAAACGTATACGATCTGAAATGAAAGCTCGGGAGATGATGTTCCGTGAATCTGTTCGAATAAGTATGGCAACAAATCCAAATCCAGATCCTGAGTATGAACGTAATCGACTTAAGAAATTCCAAGAAAATGAAAAGAAAAGATACCGTAATGAAACACTTGCATTTGAAATGAAACAACAACGGCAACTTGAAGAATTGAGAATTTTAAATGACACTACTATTAGAGAGCTTGAGCAACTTCAAAATGAAAAACGTACATCATATATTAAAATATTTTAATTTTTAAATTTTATTTTATATTTGAATGTTTAATTATAGGCAAAATGCTAATGGAGCATGAAACAACCAAGTTAAAAGAGCAAGAAGAATTGTATAGTCGCGAGTTGAGGGAATGGAAAACTCATCTCAAACCTAGGAAACAGGTAAACTAATAAATGTATTATTATGTATATAATTATTTACTTATATAATTTATAGCAAGTTTGTACTTTTAATAAGTTTTTTTTATGATTCTGTATCTTGTATCTTGAATCTTGAGTTTGATATATCTAAGCAATTAGTTTTAAGCTGTATATTTAACTGACACTTTCATAATATTTCTTCTTATTAATATATATTTTTTTTTTAACATTTGCAAATAATATACATTTTTAACATATTGTAGAAAAGGGCTAATATTAAATCTACATTTAAACATCCACCAATAGTTTATATTTTTTGTCAGAACCTTGAGATGGAGTTGGCGAGGCAGGCCAAAGGGAATTCATGGAACAGTCGCTATTCGTTGCCTTCCTCCCCAGGCAACACATTGCTCAGACGTGAATATTCATTTTCATCACTTGTATCTTCTCCTCGATTATCCAGTTCTTCTTTTCGTTCTCCTGGTTCAGGTTTTCTCCCCAGACGATGTGGCAATCAATTTCCTAATCTTTCAAATCAATCTACAATGTAACATTTTTGTTTACTGAATGAGTTTTAACTAAAAGGTAGCATTTGAACCAAAATTATCATAATATTCCAAAGGTTTATATGTTACTATTTAGTTATTGAATAGAGTATTTCGGTTCCTAATCTGGTTTATGTAATGTTATTTAGTAATTATTAATTTATTATAATTTATATTAACAAACATTGTTCTTTTAATACATATCTCAAAATATATATTTTATATTTGGTACAATTATTTATTAGTTTGAATATGTTTTTCATATATATTTTGAAATTATGCGACGGCTTTATTGAAATAAATGCATACAAATACTCATGCCCACAAATATATTTTAATTTTTATATTATTAATTTTTTTTTTTTTTGTAAATAATTAATTTCCTGTATTTTATTTTGTAAATATTATTTATTACCTTATTATAATTTTATATTAGATACCTCTATGATTTACCAAATATACTTCTATACTGAAAAATAATCATTTTTTCTGTAGTAGCATAATTATCTTTATATTTATTAATATAATGTTTTGTATTTTTTGGTAATTTTAATTTTGTTGTAAATATTTGTTTTTCAAGAGTTACTTTGAATAAATAAAAGGTTTTTTGATAGTAGTTGAATATTTATAAAATGTTAAGTATATTATGGTATAATATGGTTAATCATCAAGGTATCTATTAATAAATTATATATAGCATGACATAGAACAAAATTTTGCTTAAAATTCTGTACTCTCATTGTACATTTCAAACACATAATATTACATTTATTATTATGAATATATTCTCGCACCGATTGGTTGTATGCTTATAATTATGGTAAAGTAGTAATTTTTAATAAGCTTCTTAGTATGATTTTTATATTGTTATAATACTATGCCATGTTTTGTTAATATTTATTAAAAGACACTAACAGAATTACTATATGTTGAAAGTAAAGTATCTGATCTTTAATATCTATCTTAAAACAATTACTTTAACCCATTTAATAACACTGTCTATTGTATAAAAACATGCTTGATTTATTTATTTTATGGCATCCTTAATCCTTGCTTGTTCCTGAGAACTGCTGCAATGTATATATATATTATGTAAGTAACACTATATATTAATTTAATTATAAATAATTGCACATTTTTATTTATTAACTTGAACCTTAGTTTAGAAATACTATTTATATATATTATTACTTATAGACAAACTACTATTTATCAACAATTATATTCAGATATTTTATATAAATAATTAAATTGCATGACAAATAAAATAATAATTTTATTTATCATTTTGTAACAAAGATATGCCTAGCTCAACTTTGTTATCCTTTGTACCTTCTTCCATTCAGGCAGTTAATTGATAAATAAGAAACTTACCAAAGAATAATAATATAATTTTGATTCATTACTGTCTTACAATATTTTATGCATGGAAGTTGGTACAAAATATAATTAGTAATTTACTTTTATATCATTTTTTTTTTACAGAAACTAGAAGAACAGTTTGCTATACAGTTAGAAGAACAAGAAGCAATTTTTGGGTCAGCAACCAATATGTTGCCAATTAATACCAGCCCACATTCTCATCAGCATTCTTATCATCACAGAAGCTCAACTCGGAGTAGTTTATCTTCCATGTCAGCAGATTGACTTTTCTGTATATTTTGTACTGTATAATTATATATATATTTATTTTTTGTTGATTTTTATTAGCCATATGTGCCAACATTGCCCTCATCCCCTGTTGCTATAATTAAATGTATATTTAATTATTTTAAAAGTATTAAATTTTGTATGCATAAAAAGTTATTATATATTTATAGATACTTTTTAAGAGTTTATAAGATACAAGTTGTTTTATAATGAATGCATTTGAGAATTAAACAATTTTTTGAATCTGTTGTAAAAATAAAACTGTTACATTTTTTGTTTTGTAATTAAAAAATAAAAAATACATTTAAAACAATATCCTATTTAATATATTCAGAAAAATCACGAATTAATAATAATAATAGAGAATACAATTTTTGTTTATGTACAAAATGTACAAAAATACATTTTAAGGTAGTATTGTATTTTCTTTACAACATTCAAATAGTAAGTATTTATTTAAACAAGTTTCTTAGCTTCAAAGAAACTTTTCAAATGTTTCATTTGCCAGAATCCCATAACTAACAATATGAATAACTGTGTAAGGGACCACCAAAACACTCGTTGATGAGTACTTTCACTTGTTTGACGAAACCTTTCTTCGCGGAACTGTAAATACAAAAATTATTATTAGATAAAAAAATATCTATAAATTAAATTTGAGATTTAATGATGGTGTAGACAACAATGGTTATTGAAACAAGATAATTAAAATGTTTATATACAAAACCAAATCAACTTCTAATTTTGATGTCAAGAATAAATCTGATTTCTGAGTTTTTTTTTCTTAAAACCATTATAATAAATAATTAGAGCATAATAAATCTAAAATTTCTTAATTTATTAAGATATAACTGTAATTTTTAGTATGATGAGAAAAAAAAAATATTATGAATAGGATTTTAAATAGGCGAATGATGAAAACATATTTTATAATTCAATAAATTTTATGTTAATTATTTACAAATAGTTCAGAATTTTTAAATAGATTAGTTTAATAATATTTACTCTTTGGTAGCTTTGTTCTTTGATAATCTGTTCAACTTGTTCAACTAATTGTCTAATTCTAAGTTGTAAGTCTGATAACTTTTCTTTTTGGGCTACTTGAGCATAATCAATAGCCTGGTCACCGACTTGAATATCCAAATGAACTCTCTATAACAATATTAATGTTAAATATAAAAATTTTAATAATAAAATATGATAAAATTCTTACCAATTGTGTACCTCCAATCCATGCAGTTGTATTTGAATACAAACATATAATATGTTCACCAGGTATATGAGACGTAAATGAAATTTTTCCTTCATAACTGTATACCTAAAAAAAGATAAAATAATTTTATATAATGATAAAATTTTAATTTTTTTATAATTACTGTACATACACGGGATAAAATAATTTTCATATCTGGATCTTTTACTTCAACATTCATACCAATGCCTGGTGTAGGTGGTGTAAAGCCCCCTGTCCTTACGTCAAATAATTCTACTTTGTAATGAGCTGAAAACCAATCAAGATATTTAATTTTAAAAAAATATGTTTTGTTTTCATAATATTACTAACAAACTACGGTAGTTTCATCAGGAATTTCTTCTATAAAGCATTTTCGTTCCGTTTCGCCAATATGAAAATATAAACATTGAACCAAATTCAATATGTACGAACTGAACAACAGAAGTAAGAAATATGATTTCATTTTGATCTTAATTTAAATCTTTATGTTAAACTGAAGCACAAAAACTTTATTTGAATACTAAATCTTAAATTTTTGAAGCAATATTTTAAGCGGTGTGTAAGTTTGAACCTAGAAACGATATCGGTTGAGTAATCAATACACGTCACAGAACTCATTCTTGTATACAACGTCATACTGTTGATAGTTGATTAAAAAAAAATTATGAAATAATCACTATTGATATAAAATTGATATTTAAATCACAGATATATATTAATACTAGACTAGATAGCCTTCTTTGAATACACCATAGAGTAATTTACTCTATGAATACACCACCACAAAATAAATTGAAACACGACGCCATATGCAAAGAAGATAAATCGATAAACAAATATTATCAATATTAGACTATTATCAATAAAATACATATATTGTTATTATTATTTAAAAATGAGAATTTACCTATACTTTGTTTTTTCTCAGTTCTCTGTTTTAAAATTAAATAATATATTTTATATTATTAAACAGAATGATTAATTAATACTACCTATGTAGTATGTACATATATTATACATATATTAATATATATAAACTTAGGATATAACTAAATCGTAATGTTTTATGAATTATGAAAAAAATGAAAAATCATCAAAAATATATATATATATGGTTATCACAGACTATTTGAAAATGTTTTTTCTTATCCGTGATGATAATATTAACCACTGTGATAAGTTATATCAAAATAAAATTGTTTTCTGATAATATACTTAAAATTCGTCGTTCATAAATATTATTATTAAGTCGAATTCAGTGATAATAATATATGTGAGGTTTGTTAAAATCAAGGGTTATAAGTAATATATTTATTTAATTATATCCGTTATTATGGATCTTATTGTTTTACTTTCTATATTTTCTGCTTCAGTGGTTTTTGGGTTGTTTAGTTATGTATTTCGTTATAAATTTTTTAAAAGTATGTTTATAATTAATATGATTTAACTTAATCATCGTATTCTTTTTAAATATTTAATTTATTAATTCGTTATTTCAAGTTTATTATTTAGAAATTACTGTTTTAGATGAATCAAAAAATGTTGTAGAAGATGAACCTATAGTTAGGCCAAGACCAGGATTACGTGCACCTAATCGCCATGTATTACGTCGAAATAATCGGAATGTTATTGGTAATTTATCTTATAATTTATGGTATGAAAAAAATTAATTTCATGTGTCTAAAGTAGAATTTGTTGAATATTAAATATTTTTTGTTTTTAATTTGAAATGAATTAAATATTATAAAAATCAAAAGTTAAATATTCTATGGAAGTGAGGCCTATAATTGTGTACATTCATTTTTAGACATCTTTAGTTTATTTATTCATAATTATTAGTTAAGTAATTATAGTAACTTGTGTTTTAATTAATATATTTGTGGCTGGTATGATAATTTTATCTAATTTTTAGGAAGGCTTGAATAAAAAAATTTAAGTGTAATTCATTAACTTATGACTTAAAATTACCATAGTATCTACTACAAAATTTATAAATTATATGAAGTGATATATATTCAAGTAGCTATGCTATTCTGTTAAAATTACCATTGTGAAAATATTCTGAGAAGTAAAATCTTATAATGATCAATGATGTAAATCAAAATTGTTAGAGCTTTACTCCAATATCATTATATAATTAAAAAAAAAAAATAAATAATTCCTTATATAACAACAATAATTTTGCATTTGTTAAAACATTATTGTTGAACAGAACTTATTAGTTTATAAAGCTAAGGTGATCTTTAAATTGATTCAACAATATTAATTTAGAACCTAGAAATGAAAATGCTGAAAATGATAATGACGTAGTTGATCCAAGTGTTACTTCTGCTATTGATCCAAAATTAGGAGCAAAAAAAAGAGCAAAATTAGAAGCTAAAGCAGAGAAAAAAATACAACGAGAAGTAAATTAAATTATTGACATTTAATTTTATAATTGTATTCTCTAATTATTTTTTAAATAGGTTGAACTAAAAGAACGTGAAGACCGTAAAAAGAAGAAAGATGCAGAAGAGGCAGAAAGAAAAGCTCTTGAAGATCAAGAATTGCGACAAGAGCAAGAGCGTTTAGCTTTAGAAAAGAAAATTGCAGAAGAAAAAGCTAAAAAAGAACATGAAGAGTACTTAAAATTAAAAGAAACTTTTGGCATTGAAGAAGAAGGCTACGAAGAAACATTAGAAGATGAAGGTGCCACCTTAACACAGTTCATTGATTTCATTAAGGTTAAAAACTATTTAATAATTTTGTTTAAATCTATTTGCATATAAATCATTTATATTTAAATGTAATTTCTAAAAGTACAAAAATATTTATTAAATTAATTTTGATATTTATTTTAGGGAAACAAAGTCATATTTTTGGATGAACTTGCTTTGAAGTTCAAATTAAAAACTCAAATTGCAATTGATAGAATTCAAAGTTTATTGGAAGATGGTTCATTAACTGGTGAGTTTGTACAAATAGTATAAAGCCTTTATATTTATCTAATTATTTTTCAAGGTGTAATTGATGATAGAGGAAAGTTCATATATATATCACAATCTGAACTTGATGCAGTTGCTACCTTCATCAAAAAACGTGGACGGGTTTCATTAATAGAATTAGCTGAACATAGCAATAATTTAATTGTTCTTGATAAACCTATTTCAGCATCATAAAAATATATTAAAATATTAAATGGTTATTGGATATACTACATAGATTTTATTAAATACTCTATGAAAATTATATTTGGACACAATTTTTTACTAATAAGTATACAAGAAACAGAAACTGTAATGATAAAATCAATATAAAAACAACATCAGCGATGACAATTTTATTATAATCATTAATTGTTAAAAAATTATGATTATACTTAAATGTTAATTATCCTCCATTTCTGAATCATCATCACTTGTTACCTCAGGATCATTAATTTGTTCTTTGCATTTAATACATTGACAAGTAAATACATAATTTTCTCTATAAAAAAAATAAAATAAAAAAAAATAAAAATAAAAAATATAATTCAAAGCTAAAATATTTCTACATTATTGTATGATAAGTCAACATACTGTAAATATTTTTGTCTTGTATGTCTACTATGTATTAATTCACATGGAGCAATATAGCTAGTATTAATTTCATCACCAGGTTCAATTGGTCTTATAGCAATTAATCTTAATACATGATCACCATTAAATACACTGGCTGCATTTGGAAAACAGCTATGATTGATTGAACTATGTTCTTGAAAAAGAGCTGAACCTTCATTATCCAAAAAATCAATTCCAACAACTATTTAAAACAAATATACTTTATAATGAGTTTGCAAAATTTGAGGAGATGGAGGTTAAGTACAAAACTTTTGTTTCTATCTCAGGGATATATATTAGATATAAATACATTAATAAAGATAATTTTTATATTTTATTTTAAATTAAAATAACAATTGATTACCTTGCTCCATAGCATCATATGCATTATCTACAAACTGTTCAAATAATTCTATTTGATCAGGAGGAAGATTTTTTTTACAATTATTTGACCATTGTTGAAAAACACTTGTACCAACACCTTGTCCATTTGTGCCAATCAAAGCCAATAATGATTTAAAACCACTTGGTGTTAACCACTTAACATAATTAAAATTAAATCAAATATACTAAAAACATTATGAATTTAATTTTACTTGACTAGATTCTCTAATGGTCATAGATTTAAGAACACCAAATCGAAGTTGTTCAATCTGTTCAGCAAACTTTTCTCCTAGCATTTTATGTACTAATTTTTCATTTTCATTTTCTGTCCGGTGACAAAACTAAAATTGAAACCATAATATAATAATAATTTACTAAGATCAAATAAATTTGAATAAAGTATTTTAGTGATATTAATTTATTAAAAAATGGTACGTCAAATTACATTAGAAACTATTTGATTAGCTGTATGTGGAGATGGTGATAGTTCAATTGTCGCCAATAAACGACATAATAACATAATGTTATGGCTTTCAGGAGGATAATGCATGGTTCTAAATAAAATACATAAAAACAATTAAAAAATAATTTGTATAGATAAAAATGTAATAATATAAATATCATATTGAACTGATAAAAGAAATTATATTATGATTTATATGGTTCATATTCTTAACAGAAAATCCCTATTAACACAAAATTGCAATAAATTTCTTAAATACATTGCAAATTCTGCGAATTATATCTTAATATGAAATATATTGCAAAATAATATTGAACAATCAAAAGAAATTTAAAATAAGGTATGAATCTTATATAGTTGTAAACTATTCTATAGCTAAAGAATAAATTTTAACTAACAAATAATCATACATGTATCTATAAATATAATCATAGCACAACTTCAGTACAATGCAATTTACAAAAAATATATAAAGCATATATATATATATATAAACAAATTATAATCAATGGAATTTAGAATATTATTTTAAATGTTGAATTTTAATTGAAATTTGTAAAATCATAAAATTAATTAAATTTTACCTCCATAATTCTTCTAAATGGTGTAATGAATCATTACTGTCAGGTCTGCAAAGAAGTTGATGATATCTATTATATGCAGTTTCTAAACACCTGGCACTACAGTACCAAACCTAATAGAGAAAAGTTTATCAAGTTTTTGTACATTTATATTAAGATAATTAATTATACTACAAGATGTATTGCAAATATCTAAAATAATTATTGTTATATTGATATGGTTCAATAACTTTACTCTCATTCAAATACTAATTATTAAGTAATTAGTTGGTAAATTAAATGTAATATAAAAATTAAATTATCTTTATATTCCTCAACACAACATCACAAATACAATAAGTATATAATAAATAAAAATTCCTTACCTTACAAGATTCACATTGAACAAAGTTTTGTATTTTATCCTTTACGGTACAATATTCTTCAAACGGAACTTCCAATATTGCTGCATTGGTCAATCTGATTACATTTTCTGTGACAGTTTCTAAAGGGCTAAATAATAAAACAATTTTTAAATATATGTATTATACAACTCATAATCAATAATACATATAATATTTTTTGAAGAATACTAGTATTTATTACCAAAGACAATGATTGCAAGCACGATAACCATATAAACTATTCCAAGAAAATTGACAAGAAACAAATGGTTCTTCTTCTAAAATTAAATCATCTGTTTTAAAATGTTTGGTAGCAACAAGGCATTTTCCCTAAAATAAATTCCATTTAATCTTGTCAATTGTATTCATATACATGGGATTTATTCAGTGGAGTGACTTTTGAGTCAAAGCAACAGGGGAATTTAATATAAAATACAGTATTTACTTACTTTGATTGAGTCGTGAGTTACTATGTAACCCTTGTCATCAATATCCATTTTGACAAATAAAAACTTTTAATTTCCCACAATTTCAACAGGTACTTTTTGTAAGTATTTTTAATTAATATTTATTATTATTATTATTTATTTACTATAAACCATAGATTAAATACACTATTATTTAATCTATGTATAATCGAACATGTAACTTACAATCAAGTTAGTATAATTTACGTGTATCTACTGATCTCCCAATATCTTTGATTATCTTAAATAGCTTATAGCTTTATTAGTACCTTACTATAGGTATTTTATTCCAATAATTAGGCCCTGGGTAAAAGGTTAATTTCAAATTTGAGTAATGCAATTGCTCTGTTGATATTTGATACGAAGTAGACCACGAAGTGCAATTAACCACGTTCAAGAAAACGAGGGAATTATATTTTAGGTTAGCAATGAAGAAATTATGACATGCGGGGCCGCACTGTCACATGGTTTGCCATTGAGCAACAATGTTTCTTCGTATTTTCCGCACAAAAATTATAGTTGTCGGCAAGTGTAAAATCGAAATTCCAAATAACAGTTCGAACCTAGAAGGAGTAGAATTGATGTGTCGATTGATTCAAAAATCAAAATCGTCCCGTAGTGGGGCTACGTGGCTAGCTATTGGTCAAAAAATGTAAACAAGACACCATCGATCGCGTTTTCGTCATGTGACCTTTGATTTCATTTGCCTAAAAAAAAACCAAGATGTTTATTTATTATTAATAGTGTTTTTATTATTTTTTATTGCATATATAATTTTTTAGTACATATTATTATTTTTGCTTTCGTCTCACGGCCAATGCGGCGCTAGTGCTGTGCAATGTAAACACGGACCAACGGGTTTTTCTTGCCTGAACGCAATTTGCTCGCGCGAAGAATATTATTGTTATAAATTTTTTATAAAACCGTCGGTCGCGTTCAGTTTCTTCTATTCGACTAGACGATTAACAAGTGTGTACAGTGAACATACTAGAATTCAATATATTATAAATAATATACTATTGGCGTGTATGTAAGTGCGCTTTATTTTTTTCTATCTTTCTGTGTAGTGTTTCCGTGCACATTGTGTCGATTTTTTCGCATACCATATTTTACAATAACAACAACAACAATAATAATAATAATAAATTGTAACCATTATAAATTCCGCGGGGACCACAACCTGCTTGTTGAAAGTCATGGTCGCGCGCGTTTCTTTGTCGCCCGCCCGACGTCGCGTTGAATTGTCGCCAAAGTACCCGTTAGCGCCGTACTCGTCCACCGCCACCGCCACCGTTGTGGTTTTGCTGGACCTATTTTCCCGATCGACAAAAGGTAAATAAACAAAGAATTCTTAATCATTTTCCATCCTCGTGGCCTCTTATCATTATCATATGTCCTTGATAACTCCCAATAGACATACAAAACAATTTTGCTTTGTATTAAAATATAGTATTATATACCCGTAGCCTAATGTATGTGATTTAACAATACAGTAATACATACACATAATTAAATATTTTCATGTGCGCGTGTGTGCTTGTCTGCGTGATTTTTATTCCTCTGTTTAATAATTAGATAGCCTTTCGACTCTTTCGGAATTGATCGAAAATTTTTATCGCGCGCGTTTTGCGAGTGTTGAGCGTGAAATGTCTAGAATGAGCTGTGATAATTTTCATAAACTAAACTTGTTGCACGGTGCCATACTTAATATGCAAATTTTTTCACTGACTGTGGGAAAAACAAATTATAGGTAGGTCGGGACTGGAATTTTATATTGCATTTACATACAGCATTCCTGCTAATGGATATCTAATTAATTTTATAACATTTCCCAATTCAATGTTTCGTATTATTTTTATAATTTATTCTTATATTATTCTTCAAATATTTTTCATTTTATATTTTTATATTCTAATTTTCTTTGATTAGTATTAAACACACACATTGTTTCGATGAATAAATTATAAACAGCTGTTAATTTCTAACAACAGTGCATTTTATTATATTTGTATATTGTCAATACATTTATGTTGTTATTTATTAATGATTTTTTTTTTCTATTATATAATATAAACATAAATATGGTATGTGAACTATAACCTTTTTGATACATAATAATTTGTGGTATAATGTTAAACAGTATCATGTTTTTATTATTTTAATACATTGTATTAATCATTACCTCGAGTTTAGGATGATTCTTGTGTTAAATATTTAATTTACTTATTCTTCATGCACTGTTATTGATTTTTAGGAATTTTGAAGTTGTAACTATTTTAAAATTGTCTTCATCTATTTATTTTTGCCTAGGAATTTTAAAGATTAAAGTTTTAATTTTCAAAGAGATTTTAGTTATCATTTTAAAATTATAAATAGTCAAAAGATTACAACTCTATAACTGAGCTATACAATATATTGGTTAAAAAAATGTAGTAGTAGTTAATTATATTACAAAATATTGGTTTGAAATTGGATACTATTAAATTAATATTATTATACACTAAATATATTTCATCTTTATATTATGATTGATATGTTTTTATTCATATTTTATAGTGCCTGTTCTGTTTAAATGTTAGCTACCTATTTGAATAATTAATTTCACGGTTGAAAGTAAAATTTTAAATGAAAATATTATACTATTATTCTGTCATAATTTTAGTTTTTAAGTGCATTTCTTAAAATATTAAATAACTATAAATTAACTAGAAGTAAATCTTTGTGATTAGTATACATCTTGTTTATAATTATGTAATGCTTTTTAGCCTAAGGAGAAATCACTTGTTCATTTATAAAAACTATATTTGTTATCAGGAGAAAATAGTTATAATTAGAGTATAAAATATAGGATGAGCAATCATTATTTAATCTATCCTCATTGCACCTCTAGATAAAATAATTATATTTTCATTTTTAAATATTAAAGTAAGTGTACATACATATTCTGTTAGTAATCAATTATTTGAAAGGCCATATTAAACTTTAAAAGCAAAACTTTTGGATGTCATTATTTATAATGAAATAATATTCCTACTTAAAATCCAATTAATTTAGTTGTTTTTTAGTATTTAAGAGGCCGATAAAAATAAAAATACATGTAAACTATTCTAGTTATGAAAGTGGAAGTTCATAGCGGTAATGTTATATAGAGACTTGTTTTACTTTTTTGCTTATTATCAAAATATTTTATTCTGATTTTTATTTGTGTTTTGTTTTATTTTAGACGAATAAAAATTGTGAAAGAAAAGGAGTTCAATTAATTTTGGAAGATAATTTCATTTTCAAATAAATAAAAAATTGATTTTTTTTTTTTTTTTTTTTTTACATAAAAAGAACCTACTGAAAAAATATATATTTGTATTCATCAAAGAAATAAAGAAGAACAGTAAAATGAATAACAAAGATTATACAAATTTATTTGGTACAATGGAAACTAAACGTGTATTGAAAGCTGATTATCCTACAGAAAGTTCATCATTAGGAGTACCAATACCAATAAGGAAGAATGGAGATCTTAATTCTTTACAAGATTATGGATTTGAATTGTTTGATTCAAATAATGATCTTATTCAAGATCCTATGGTAGTCAATAATGCAGATCAGAATTTTTTTACTACTAATGATACTGGATGGATTGGAAGATCTGATGAAATGTCTTTTATCAAAATGGATGAAGACATATTTCAGGTAAAAAATTATACTATTTTTTTTTTTTTAACAAAAATTAACAATGCTGGTTATGTTGTGCATATAATTTGTTTTAAGCATAATGAACTTTTATACTTTGAATTCCTATTTTTATTTTTATTTATTAGAATTACAATGAATAGATTTTATGAACTATCAATGATTAAGTCTTTAGAATTAAGTTTTTTTAATCTTCAAAAATATTTGATCCATAAAATATTTATAGTGAAATAAAATTAAATAATTGGTTTTAAATAATACTGTTCTAATTTTCTTGGTAAATGTTATGTTTTTAATTTCAATAAAAATGTCTAAAAAAAAATTATAATTTATTAACTTTGTAAATATATTCATTAGAACTTTAATTGTCTATCAGAAATAGTTTTATTCGTTATATTATTTTCATAATAATGGATTTTTGAATGATTGAAATGAATTATTGAATTATCTTGTGAGATTATTAATAAGAAATGTTGCTCTGGTGGTACTCTAAGGCTGTCATTTTACAAATTTCCTTGCATAAAATAGATGAAGTTATTTAAAAAAACAGCATATACTATGAAATTTGATTATACTTTTATCTAAATCATTCAAAGAAATGTAAACTGATCCACTTGATATCTTTTATTGGGAGTTGAATTTCGAGAGCAATGGTACATTAGTTTCTCAAGTTTTAAAGATCAATATAGCAATACCGCCTATCAATCCTGTATCTTAGTAAAATTAGTAAAAGAGTATGTGTGGAGTAACAGAAGATTTTAACATAGGAGTTAGTTGGTGTGCATCAGAAGTCAGCTTTAATCCTTTATTTGTTCTCTGTGGTAATGGATGAAGTTCTGAAAGTGCAAGATACCATGGTATGTAATGTTAGCTGATGATATAATTTTGATGTGAGAAAATCTGACTTAACCAAGAAGTTGAGGGTATGATGAGTCCAATGACAATAAGTGGTGATGTGATAGATGAAGTCGAGAACATAAAATATTTAGGATAATTTATACAAAAGGACAGGTGCTTTGATATGGATGAAAAACATAGGATTATGTGTGGTTGGATGAAATGGAAAGAAGCGTTTTATGCAATTAAAGGAATTAATTGAGGCTGAAAGGTAAATTTTACAAGAGTGTAATGAGACCAACTATGCTATATAGTTCAGAGTGTTGGGCGGTTTACAGGAAAATATAACAGAGTATGAGTGTTGCAGAAATGAAAATGCTTAGATTGATGAGTGACAAGAAAATATAGAATAAGGAACAAATATGTGAGAGGTAGTATTGGTATATTGTCGATAATGGACAAGATGAGAGAAAATAGACTTAAGATGGTTTGGGCATGTAATGAATTGAGAGGAAACAAAAGCAATAAGCGTGGGTTATGAAAAGAAACATTGAAGGAAAACGAAGAAAAAGAATACCAAAAAAGAGATGGTTGAATTCAATTGAGAATGATAAAAAAGCTGTTGGTGTGTGTGTGTGTAGAAGATGTAGAAAATTGAGACAAGTGGAGGTTTAAGACAAGGACGGCCAATTCCAAATAGTTAGAAGAAAGGCGAAAGAAGAAGAAAAAAAATCTAGTATTAAATCCTAATTTTATTAAATTTACCAAAACATTATTTATGAATTTTTATTTTTTTTATTCAGTACATTTTTAGACACATTTAAAATTATGTAAGGCTTTTTAAATTTTTTTTTGTTAATTCTTATTAATTTTTAATATTTATATTTGAAATAAAGTAAATCTTCAGTTTTTCCAATTTTATTTTGAAAAATATTGAGTAGTAATTCAGATTTTTTTCTATAAATATAATTTTTATTTGATACTATTCATTTTAACCATTTTTTAATAATGTTTAATTATTGCTTGGATATATTGTGTGTCTCAAAAAGAACGTAGGATTTAAATCTGCTATATATTAAATTTATTTTTAAAAACATAACAAATATATCATTCTTGAAAAGAAGTTAAAGTTTAACTGTGAAAACAATATCGGACATATGACCTCCCCCTTACTAGCCCTACAAATGATTATTCTTTTCATTAAATTTACCATTACTCGATCACACATTGCCCCATCAAGTTCGTTGAGGACACGACAAATTTCTTGCTCAAGTCCCAAAACATTTCGAACTTTGTTCTGATAAACTCCTGAAATAGTGTATTCCTATAAGAAAAATCACACAGCGTCAAGTCGCAAGATCGAGGTGGGTAGCTTTGGTTTCCACGCAACGAGATTAGTTTATCCGGGAACCTCTCACGCAGCAGAGGGATTGTTTTTCTTGTAGTGTAACAAGTTGCGCCATCTTGTTGAAACCATTCAAAAATACCTACTGAGCTCAGTAATTTTCCTAGGCCTCGTTTGGACTAAATGAACATAAAAAATGTGTGGTTTCAACTTGTCACAGATCAAGAGAAACAAGCCCTCTGCTGTGTGAGAAGTTCCTGGACAGACGAATCTCATTGCGTGGAGACCAAAGCTACCCTCCCCGATCTTGCGACTTGATGTTGTGTGATTTTTCTTATAGGGATACACTAAGTCAAGAGTTAACCAGGACAAAGTTCAAAATGTCTTGGAACTTAATCAAAAAATTTGTCGTGTCCTCAACGAACTTGATGGGGCAATGTGTGATCGAGTAATGGTAAATTTAATGGAAAGAATAATCACTTATAGGGCTAGTAAGGGGGAGGTCATATGTCCGATATTGTTTTCACAGTTAAACCTTAACTTCTTTTCAAGAGTGATATATTTGTTATGTTTTTTTAAGAGAAATAAATTTAATTTATAGCAGATTTAAATCCTGTGTTCTTTTTGAGACACCCTATATTAATAATTATTGCAATGTATTTTCTTAACTGATGAGACCATTAACTAATAATTAATGATTTACTATGTTCTTCTAAAACTAATAATTATTTGTATTAATAATGAATATTAATTTATAAAAATTATTCAATACATTTATAAATATATATAATGCACCTATTTTAATTCATTCTATTCAGCTATATTTTTATAGAGAAAATGTTATGTAAGAAACAATAGAATTTATATGTACTTGTAAAATGTATTTTACTGTTCCAAGTTAAATCTTTTGGGAGGGAGGGATTACCAATTTGTTTTCAGAAATGTATAATATTTAAATTTCTGTACATGAAGTCTAAATATAACACAGTAGGACTTCTGATCTGATGCCTTGCATTGAAGTTATAACATGTATGTTGCAAAGTATCAAATGGCTAATTGGGATTTTTAGTAAAATGTGTTATTTACATCAACTTCTACCCATCCAAACTATATTTAGTAGAATTAGGTAAATATTAAAATATTAGAAAAAAGTATATACATTCTAAATTAAATTAGATAGTTTCAATTAAAAACACAAATAAAAATATATATATATGTAAATTATTTTTAATCATTTTAATATATAAGTTAATATTATTTATCTTTAAATATATATATACTAAATAATCATTTTATTTTTACAAATTATTATAGTTTAGTTTTTATGAATTAACTGACTAATTTAATTTAAGATAAATAATATTAACTATAAGTTAAAATGATTAAAAATAATTTATTTCTCCATGTTATTTGGTGATTTTTCATCCATATTTAAAATTATTAATTTTAATTTTATTTCAATTAAAAACAAATATTAGGAAATTATTGATAAAATGCTTCTTTAGCTAATATTTGATATGTTTGTGTTATTAAAAATGTCTAATAGTTTGATTAAAATGGCCGTATTAACTTGTTCTGTGATTATGATTATCTAAAATTAACTTGTATTAGTTAATTTCTATTTTTTTTTGTCTAAGATTTTTTTGAATTATATTTATTATTTATTGGGAATACAATTTTAAATTTTTTTTTTTTTAAAATGTATCTTTTATTAATTTACTTTTGCAGGTGGATCAATCAGATTTACTTCATGGACCAACATTAGCTGAATTAAATGCTAATGGTGGTGAATCTTTATTGGAAGACCTTAATTTCGATGATCTGCTTTTACCACCTGATTCAGTAAAATCTGGAATATCTGATACAGTTCCATTAATGAGTTCATATTTGGTAGATGTTGTGAATACCAGCCCAGTCAATCGACCAAGCTCGTCAAAATCTGGTTTTCAGCTTTCACCAAACAGTTGCAGTTCACGTTCATCGCTTTCTCCAGGTCCAACAAATTCAGTAACATTACAAGAACTATTAAAAAAAGAAACAAAATCACAAAAGTGTTTGTCGCCACCTACATTTGGAACAAGTGTTCCAGGATCAGGATTTTTATTGTCTAACAGATCCAGAGGAAATCTTTCTTCTTCAGCTCCTACTCATCTTGGACTTGAACAGATTTGGCAGCGCAGAGAACCTAGACAACATTTACTGTCCACTGGATCATTAGTGGAAGCAGGATCTACTTCCTCTCTATCAACTGGTATGCATAAAAATCATTTATATTTAATAATAAAATGATTAATATTCGTATATACTAATTTTTCCCAGTTTATTCCTTCCTTTATTTTTTATGTTCAGTCACGATTTTATTGACTTGGTATATACTTAAGCTAAATTTTTAATTAAAAACTAGTACATTATAAAAGAGCTTTTATTTATTTATGTATTAGTTTTTAATTACTTCTAAATTAATACATTTAATTTTAAATAATTTAAGGAGGGGTTTTGAGCCCAGAAGCATATGATTTCTCTTTAGATGAAGCCATAGATGATTCGGATGATGATACAGAACAAGAAGAAGATTATTCATCTGATAACGGTTGGGTTAAACAAACAATTATTTGAATTTTTTCACTGCGAAATTGTACATTATTCTTTTTTTTTATTAATTTATAGATTCAGGTGGCGATAGTGATTGTGGTGGTGCATCATCTAAATCATCTTCACATAAAGACCGATTTTTTTGGCAGTATAATGTTCAGTCTAAAGGTCCTAAAGGTCAAAGATTAGTTTTAAAAAGTAAGCTAGAGGATCCACATTGTTTAAATGAGGTTACTGATCCAGTATTTAGTCCGAGTTGCTCAATACAAGGCATTAAGCATAGGTAAATTCACTTTAATTTTATTTTTCTTAATTTATTATTTTTAAAAATTTTGTTAAATGTGTAGTGGTAAAGCCAGAAAGGGAGATGGTAATGATTTAACGCCTAATCCTAAAAAATTACAATCCATTGGCAGGGAATTAGATAAACTAAATAGAAGCATAAATGAAATGACACCAGTCAGCGAATTGCCATTTAATGTTAGACCAAATACCCGGAAAGAGAAGAACAAATTGGCTTCCAGGTATATTTTAAATATTTATAATTTTAGTAAAAATGACTAATTTAGTTATTCCTTAGTATTATAATTGAATTAAAATTATGGCTATTTATTATAAACACACTATAGTTATCCTCATTTACTTTTTTACCAATCACAATAATTTCTATTTGGATTTATTTAGGTATGGTTATTTTAAATTAAAATTATGTATTATATATTGTCACTAAACGATATTTTGGCACAAAAATGTTAATATAAATACAATAAGTATATTTTTAAAGTTAGGATCATTAATAATTTTATAATTTTAAGTAAATATAATTTTAATCATTCACTATAATTCATTGGTGAATCATATAACAAATTATGTTGATTTTTTTCTAGGTCTCGTAATGTTTACAGACAGAATGTGTACATTGTTTTAAATTTACTTCTTAAAATAAATGTTTTGATTTATTAGTCATTTTCTTGTTATATTTATTATTTTGTTCTGCTTTTAATTGTCAAACATACTAATTAATTTTTAATCTTATTATCCATATAATATAAATATATATAAGCTTTTTAAATTGTTCATTATTAATTTAACCTGAAAATGTACACCCAATTGTTTTTCTAATTGGTTTTATAACTTGTTTATTATATATTTTTTTATGTATATATATATATATATATAAAATATAAGCATGACAGTGATGTAGAATTTTTCTTTATGTTCTCATGTATCCAATTTTTTTTTTATTATTATAATTATATTTAAATTATTATGAATTTATTATATTTCACTAATAATATAATTTTCAATATATATTTTTTTATGTAGTTTCATTATTCGTAAGTATATTGAAAAATATTTTATTTTCAGAGCATGCCGGTTAAAGAAAAAAGCTCAACACGAAGCGAACAAAATAAAACTTTTTGGCTTAGAAACTGAACACAGTAATTTTTTTATTTATAAATTACTAATACATAAATTATAAAAAAATAATTAAGTTCAAAATTTAGTATTATATATTTATAATATAATAAAGTAAGTATTCAAATTTATAATCTAATTTTATTTGTCTCAGGGCGGTTAATAAATGCTATATCTCAAGTTAAACAGATGTTAGTGACTCGAACAACCAGTGACTCATTTCCAAAAGAAAGTCAAGAGCTAACAAAGGCTAGTGAGAAAATTGCTAAAAATGCAACCAGTAAGTATACTATTGTTCAGTTACTTATTCATTTTTGTCTAATCATTGTAATGTATTTAAATATAACATGAAAATTAAAAAAAAAAAAAATTAAAATTGTAGTCTAAATGTATATTTTTTATAAATGCTACTATTAACTGTATAGAATTAATAGGACTATTTACTTTTCAATAATTTTTTTTCCTAAAATGTCTGCAATATTTCAATTATTTTTCATTCTTTAACTTTTCTCTTTATAACCATTTCATTAGTTAAGGTTAAACCCTAGTAATGGGATATAATATGGGATATGAAAGCTAACTTGGAAGTATAATCAACAATTAAGAATATAGTGATATAAATATAAATCACATATTTTGTTTTAAATTTCATGGAAAGTGTTTTAGTGATTGTAATTATATAGTGTACTAACTTTGAATGTAATAAAGATTTTTTCTACTGGAGTTATTATCTACATTTGTTTTTAAACCAAACTAAATAAAATGATCAATGGCAATTTATGAAACAAAAATTACAATGAGAGTGTTTACTTTTCCAAAATATTACACTTTTGATATCTAATAATTATTGGATGATTTATATAATTTTTACAAATTAGGTAAATAAATTATTTGAATAAAGTTTTTTAGTACTTTATTTATATTTCAATTAGTTTAAATATATTTTAATGTATTTTATTGTCTTCGAAAATTATTGTTTAGTTTTAGTTATTTTTACTTTTCTTAAATTATTAGAATGTTTGATTATTGAATTACATTTTTCACATAAATACAATAAAGTAATATAAATTAAATTAAAACCTATAATTATATAGTTTATCTAAATAAATGTATGAATTACTGTTTAATCTAAGAAGACTCATGTATATTTTATTTAGGACTAAAAGTTGCCGGACAAAGCACAGAATTTGTGAACAAAGTTCTGGAAAAAACCAAATTAGGTGCACGACGAGGTGGCTTGGATGAGCTATAGTTGCCAAAGGTCGAATACCGTTAACCTAGTCTTTATATGAGTAACTAATTTAAGTAATTATTTACGATATTGATGCCAATATATTTTTTACAATTAAGTTGTTCATCAATAGAGTCATTAATATTATTATTGCTACTATTGTTTTTATTTTAATACTATTATACAGTCAATTATAAAATCCTACTACTTCCCAGAGAGTATGTTTATTTGTATGAGTACTAATGGTTTTTTTAAAAAAAAATATTACTTGATTTGCCCTTATCAAATTAAACTGTTATGTTTTGCCAAATTTATTTTGATTTGTTATTTTTATTATATTTTTGTCATTTTTGAGCATATATTTTTACTACCATGTAATTATGTTTGGTTATTATTACTTATTAATATATGTGTTAAACTGTTAAGAAAATGATTCTATATATGTACATTCTTTTTTTATTTAATACTAACAATTTCATTACGATATTGTTATAAAATTATGTTAAATGCTTTTAAACTTTTATATCAATAAATTTCAATAAATAATTTATTGTTAAATCATATATTTACTAAAAACAAAATTTAATGTACATTCATATTTTACTTTAAATTAAAAATTTAAACATTGATAATATTTTTAAATTTAAAAGCTCAAATATGTAATATAAACACTGATAACTTTATTCATAAATATTTCAAATTAGTGTTAGAAAGAAAAGTTATTAACTCGGGTAGAATCATAATTGCTTTTAAGCAAACAATTTTTATTTTATTAAATTCTCATTTTCATACAATTTTATATGGTACTATTTAAATAAATGAATTAATTAATTTTAAACCGTTAATTATTTCAGGTATAATATTTTAAACTAAATTAAAATAACAATTTTTTAGTAAGAAAGTAAGATTAAAAATAACATTTTTATCTATTAATGGTGAATTATTTAAGAACGTATTTTTTTACTTTGAAATTTTCTAAAGTTAATGAAAATTCACCATTGTTAATTTCCATCTTTAATGTTTAATTTGCTTAAAAGTCAATTTTATAGTATAACTTCTTTTTATGTATAAAAACTAAAGAAATAATAATACACAAAGGTCATTGTTGTTGGATATTAAATTTTTATACTCTTGAAAATATGAATATTGATACATTTCTAATTTGACTACAACTTCTATTGGTGTGCCTATAATTTTTAAATTATTTTTCTTTGCTAAATAACGTTTGAGATTTTGTATAAAAACTTATTTAATTATATTTTAATGAAATAATTATCTTATTAATATGTAATTAATACAACTAATTTGATATTGTTAAAATATTTAAAGCTATCTGTCAGTGATTTAATATAATATCACTGAGAATGTATATTAAAATTATATTAAAATGTATATTAAAATTTTCTGGTATAAAAGATGTAAACTTATTCTATTGTTAAATTAAAGAAACTAATTATTCAATTAGAATTAAAATTAAATTCATTAATTAGTTCATTCATTAAAATTATTTGTCTGTGATCATTTAATATTTAAAGATCACTGCTTTAGTATTGTGTATTTAACATTTTTGTTAATCCATTTATGATAATGTATATTTTTTAGTTTTACATAATTTCTAACACACAATTAAGTACATTTTTTTATTCAAAGGGGTCAAGTTACTAATAGATTCTGTTGGCAAAATCTAGTTACCTATTCAGAGAAATGTGATAAAAACACGTGTTTGCTCATTTTATTAAACCATTGTTAATACCAATAAAAATTAAATTTTTATTAAACTTCATTGAATTGGACTTAACAAATATTTTTAAAATATTTAACAACTAGCTATTTTTGTTTAAAATATTGAAATTTTTTCAGTAAATTGGTGTTAAAATTACATTTTAAATATACAATAAAAAGCTATCAAACTGAATTTATTAATTTTAGTTTTACTTATTTTTCATAGTATTTATTATTGGAGTATTATATGAGCTATAAAACATCATTAAACAAGTATATTATAAATTGGACAGTTTATTTAAATAGTTTTCTTACTTTTTAAATGTTTTCAAGTTAAATACAAAATAAATGTATTACTATACAGTTAGTAGTATAGATAATAATACCATAACCGTATTTGTATTATTGTTAATTCTTAGTTGTTAGTGTTTTAAAATCTAAAACTGAAAAATTAGTTTGTCATAATTTTATAAAATTAATTTATAAAGTCGTTTACAGGTTGTAGCTCTTGTAAAAATGAATATGCTCATTAAAATTAAGAATAATACAAACAATTTAAAAGTTTAAATTAACATTATTGTGTAATTTTGTGTCATGTTTGTGTTCAGTATGTGATAAACCCAGTACCACTTTGAATTGTCTTTAACTATTTTTTTAGCTATTTTTAAAATTTATTATAGCCGTTTGTATCTTAAAAATGAGAATTATACATTACAATTATGATTATATATGACAGTTAATTGATTAAAGTAAATATATTTACTACCATTATGATTAATGTTATGTAGGTATCGATTTTAAAAATATATTCATAAGGATTTCTCTCTGTGTAAAGTTAAATATGTGATTATTATTTCATTAAGGTTTAATTTGTATTCTGTTAAGTTTATTTTTATGTCATGTATTTTATGCGTTATACTTGTTTTTTTTTTTTTTTTGTTAAAATTTTAATACACGAGTAAAAGCGCATTATTAATACTTGCCAAATGTTGTTTTCCGATTCAATGTAAGCAATTGATTAATGCTGGAAAAATTACTATTTTTTTTTTTAATTATAATGAAAAATATTATTTTTCTGTTTATATTTATTTTGTTATTTTTGTTTTATTAATTATACTATTACATTTTAAGATTCTACAAATATTTAAGAATATAGATTGTATGATAAAATATTATTACAGTGTATTTGGTTGTATTGCTAATTTAGTCATGGTGCTTTTTCTAATGAAAGTAAATAACTCAAAGTACACCATTGAATTTGAGCGTCATAATTGTTTTTATAGGATCAGTTGTTATCTTTATTTGACCTTCCATCAACTTAAGATCAAAAAACACAGCAAAGTAATTATAATATTGCTATTAAATTGTATTGAATAACAAATTTACAAATGTTATGGAATTTGTATTTAATTTCAGTGTATGTTATAATAAAAATTATCTACCTTAATTTTTATAACTGATCAGAAGCCTCAAATTTATAAGCACAATAATTATGAATATTTCTAAGTATAAAATGTCTTGTGGTCATATAAATGTTTAAATTTAACAAAAAATAAAGCTAAATTGTTTCTTTACATTTTTAATTAAATTGTATCTTAATAAATTATATTTAAAAGACTACTTTGAATATTCTGAATAATTTCTATACCTTTTTAATTATAATCTTATGTGTGTTTACACTTTACTACTGAGAACATATTAAACAAGTTATAAGTAAAGTTGAGAATTTTTTTATATAGTAATGTATTTGTAAAGAAAATTATGTTATTGATAATAAAAAATATTTGTCTTTATATCGATAACAATATCATTAATTACATTAGAAGATCATTGCTCATAGTAATAAGTAGGACACAGGACTTGTAGCTCTAAAAAAGCACTAAATATGCACTTATATTTTTTAATTTTTAATTATCATCTAATAATAGGAACATATTATTGATGAATATATTCTGTGCACATTGTTTTATAAATAGTAATACTCGTGTTAGACTATAAGTACAGATACATTTTAGGTTCTAAATGTATTAAAATCTGTTGTATAGTTTAGAATTATTCAGGGGCGTCATTTGGGGAGGGGGCAGACTATGGCAAATGCCCCACTCTAAGAAATTTTAAAAAGTCGGCAATTCTTTGTCCGATGATCAAATAGCTAAAGTTGTTAAATAGTAAATTTTTATTTACTACTTCGTATTCAGAAATCAGATAATCTTTTAAATGTACGTTAACGATTTATTAAAAGTTGAGAAACACTAGCTCCTCCCTGGTTTATGACAATCGTTATTACGCGCACCTTATAAACTTAATTTTTAGTATATTATTCTATGTATGTGATCTTTATAAAACAGTTTCGTGATATCGAGATTATAAAAATTGAGCTCATAATCTATAAAAAAACCGTTAAAATCGTTCCTATTCACCCCAAACTACGGTTTATTATATTTGAGATACAATTTTATGTTTTTATAAATAAGTTTTATAAAGTATTAAATATACAAATAATAAAATTATAAATATTTATTTAATTAAATTTATATTATTATTCAGTTAAACTTATTAACAGGTAACTTATAGCCTATAGGATAAGTAAATTAATTAATTACTATCTTTAATGTTATTAATGTCATCATGACATCATTATTCATTACTAATCCTTAAATGTTTTGTTCTATAAAATATTTTATTGATAGTCTATCGCTCATAAATATTATGAAGTCGGTAAATTTAATCAGTTGCCCCACCCTTTCAAAAGTTGAAATGACGCCTCTGGCTTTTGCTTATCAAAATAATATGTTTTCCGAGTTTTTCTAATGGCGGGTGCGAGAATAAAGTAAATTATACATTTAATATTTGTTATAAACCTTTAAAAAAAGATATTTTTAATTATTAATTCGAAATAAAATAAATTAATTCACAAAAAATAATATTGTATTTTTATTAAACTCCACTCATTCTTTGCGTATTATTTTAAAGCGTATACTTAATAATACAAAATAAATTTATTTTGTATAGTATCATAGGACATGGATTATGGATAGCATCACATAACTAATCATGATTGTTGAATATAAAGATTATAAAAATTGCCTCTCTAACCTCTTTAAATCCTACCAAATATCAATTTTGTGAGACAAACACATTAAAAATTCCTGAAATAATACATTGTCAGCCGCCTGTTTACTTAAAATAGTAAGCCGGTACCCTCTCAGTCCGGGCCTGACTTTACCGTTAGTTGGAAACACATCGACACTAAATTCCGACATATAACTCTGCTAAAAGTTTATTTTTCGGCATTTTAAAATTAAGACATCACACAAAAACGAAAAGATGACATGCATTATGAATAGACGCACGTACATACGCACATACGCACATGTTAATTCGTTATTATTCAGAATAGAGAAAATACCAAAATACCAATGCATGATATCAAGGTTGTACCTAGACATTTTTTCGGGAGGGGTCCAAAACATGTTTATTGAATTTAGATTTTGACTTTTGGTATTTGGTTAAAAATCAGACAGAAAAAGATTTAATCTTTTTTTTTATTAAAATTAATATCACATTTTCATATGATATGATATAAAATTAA